CACACACACACACACACACACACACACACACACACACACACATACGCACACACACACACACACATACTTGCGAGGGGTTTCGAAGCGATATTTTTTTTCTTTTTCTTTTTTCTGTTTTTATTTTTTGTTACGCAATAGAAAACAACAATGCCCCCAAAACAAATATGGGTGTGTAGGTTTTTTTTAGCCCTACATACCCATATATATATATATATTTTTTTTTTCATGCATTAGAAAAAAAAATAAAAATCCTGCACTCAACTCGGCTGGTCGGCCTAGGCCGAACCGAGCCGAACCGAGCCGATTCGGCCATCGGCCGAGCCCGCGGCCGATTCGGACCCCCCGACCGCGGCCGGGCGTGCAACATAGCCTTCACCCATTTACCATAACCAACCACCTCCACACCTCCTTCACCCATCCACCATAGTCAACCACCCTCACATCTTCTCTCCTCTGCCTCCTTCACCAATACACCATAGCCAACCTCCTCCACACCTNCACCTCCTTCACCCATCCACCATAGTCAACCACCCTCACATCTTCTCTCCTCTGCCTCCTTCACCAATACACCATAGCCAACCTCCTCCACACCTACTTCCGCCTCCACCTCCTTCACCCATCCACCATAGTCAACCACCCTCACATCTTCTCTCTCCTCTGCCTCCTTCACCCATCCACCATAGCCAACCTCCTCCACCCCCTTCACCGATCCACCATAGCTAATCACGCTCACACCTTTTCTTTCCTCCGCCTCCTTTACCCGTTCACCATAGCCAACCTCCTTCACGCCTTCTTCCTCTTCACTCCCCCAATGGAGAATTGACACCATGTGTGATGCACTTGTAGAGGGCACATGCGGAGATGGTGAGAGAGAGAGAGAGGAGGAGATGGACACACACGAGAAGCAGCAGCTGAGTGAACGTCCAATCCGACTCAATGGATGAACAAACAATTGAATGAATGACCAACCTGGTCTGGGCCTAGGCCGGAGAGATATACCGGCCTTGGTCCAGGCCGGAGTAACCTAATACCAGACCGGGGTCAGGCCAACGGTTTGAAACAGGTCCGGCCTCACTGCCGGGCCGAAAGGGTACCACTACATGATCCTCGGATCTCTAAATGGATCAAGCGATACATCAACACGCTATCCGCGGAAATAGCGGAAACCTAGAGGAACGACAAAGAGACAGTCCTAAATGCGGAGAAGGCTCCGTGCAGAAAAGAGATGCAATGCAGACTAAGCCTCAAGCCTAATCTATACAACAATGTCTGGTCTGAGTCGACCCAAAAAGCAGAAAAATGTCTGACCTGTGTCGGCCAAGAAAGACAAAAATGTCTCCTAAGCCAATGTGGCTGAGCATAAGTCAACACTTGAGCCCTAAAGGCTAAAGAGTAACTACATCAATATCCACCCCCAAAAAGAATGTGGCAAAGTCTCACGTGCCCTGTACAAGTACAAAATAGCCGAATAGAAGACAGAGAGCTCAGTCGCATGGGAAAGGTAGGGATGGGTGGGAGGCGGCAAGTACAGCTCTCAGAGTAAACTCCGAGGGGGTACCCACCTAACCATATGGATCATCATCAGGCTCAGAGTGAGAATAACAGCATGACACCAGGCTCAATGGAAACCATCAAACGGGTACTGCAAGTTCAAAGGTAAAAGGGCACTCACACATGGGAGCACACAAGCGAACCTGGACGGATAGGGGGGGCTATGCCGTCATAGACATATGACCAAGGGTTGCGAGCAAGAAAAACGTACACTCCGGAGGAGGGTGCGCAACAGATGGTAAGACAGAAGGGCGACAAATGAACACACCCACATGGTCAAGGAAAATAGGGGTCATTATGCGACTGGAGGGTAAACTCGGGGGTAAGGGGTAAATGGGAATGAGGGAAACTCGGGGGTAAGGGGTAGATGGGAATGAGGGAACTTCGCGGCCGAAAAAGTGAAGTAGTCCAACTGGTGAGTCTCCAGAGTCCAGACTGAAGTCGAGTCGAGGTAGCCAAGATGAAGTAGGAGTAGCATAGAAACCGGGTGGAAGTCCGGAACACTGCGATAGGTACTCTGGTACTGAAGAGAAGCATTGAGGTCGAAAGTTGAATGTGGAAGCCGAATGTAGAAGCTGAATGCAGAAGTCGAATGTAGAAGCCGAAACCGGGAGTTGCTGCATAAGTGTCCAAGAATAGTAAAAGATAAAGAGCGTATCGGGGTTATAGACAAGTCATGATAGCGAGAGGGAAGTCAGTGGGTACGCTGAGGGCGAGAGGAATCAACGGCAACCACATGTGGAACCATATCCACAGGGGAAGGGGGACCCGAGGCAGGTATCGATGGAGCAAGAGGACCCATCGATGAAGGAGGGCGAATGTTAGCGGTCGCTGGAGTAGATGGGTCAGTCAAAGGACGAGAAGTAGGAGGGGAGGATGATAAAGGGAAAAGATGAGCACGATTGTAAGCACGCACGGAAGTCATAGCATGCTTCAAGTGCTCGAGAGGCTCCCAAGTAGACTCCTCGTCAGGGTAACCCTTCCATCGAACAAGATACTCGAGGCGGGAAGGGTCACCATCAGTCACACGCCGGGATGCGATATCAGAGACGACAAACTCCTCGTGACCCTCAATGATGATGGGAGAGGGGCGAGGGTTAGGTCGACCATGGAACTCAAGGAGAGATCGTCTGAAGGAGCGCAATAGAGATACATGAAACACATCATGTAGGTTAGCGCGATACATGGAATCGGGGAGCTTCAATTTGAAGCTCACCGGACAGTCGTGATTAGGTCCGGTGGGTGAAAGAATAGTGTATGGATCGATATATCGACGTCTGAATTTTCAAAGTGTGTCGGCCTCGAGTTGGAAGTGACCTGCATCGACAAGGACATCGCCGCCAACTTTGAAGAGGTGGTTGATGTAAGAACGGTTGGCGCTAGTAGCCATGCGAGTGTGGGAGTCGGCAATGCTCTTGCGAGCATTGCTGAGAATTTCATCAATCTCCTTAACGCAATCATCAAGGGCAGGGCATTTAGTGTCATGATGGATCTGAGATGGACGAAGGAGATCATATGCGACACGAGGGTGATATCCCAAGTCACAGTAGTAAGGAGACATGTCGCTGGCTGGTGAAATAGCATGGTTATAAACAATCTCGGCATGGGCGAGATGAAGGTCCCAATCAAAGTCATTTTCAACAAACGTCTTGAGGATATTCCCAAGAGTTTTGTCGGCGACCTCGGTCTATCCATCTGACTGGGGATGGTAAGAAGAGGAGAAGCGAAGCTCAGAGTTGTAGATCTGGTGGAGTCCGCGCCAGAAGTGGGAAGTGAAGTGGGGGTCACGGTTAGAGACAATACTAGTAGGAAGACCGTGATGAATGGCGTTGCGGTTGAAATAGAGTGAGGCGATGTCTTTAGCTGAGCTAATATACTTGCAAGGGAAGTAGTGAGCATGCTTAGTCAGCCGACAGACAACAACAAAGATGATGTCGTGGCCTCGTGGGGTAGGGGGACGAAGAAAACCGATGAAGTCCATAGAGACAAAAGTCCAACGCTGAGTAGGAATGGGTAAGGGCTGAAGAAGACCGTAGGGGGGATGATTGGTAATATTAGCCTCTTGGCAGATCTTGCACGTGCGGACATACTCCTTAACGAAGGTGCGACAGTGCCTCCAATAGTAATGGTGGTAGAGGCGGTCAAGAGTCTTATAGGCACTGAACACGGAGCTGGCCGGTAGAAGGCACGCACAAACGAGGAGTATGCGGATGATTGAGTCTAAGCCAGTACAAGAGTCTAGAGGGGTCGAGCGGGAAGTTAGGGATGGTCTTGCCAGCCTGTAAGTTAGCGTAGATGGACTGAAACTCAGTGCAGTGGGGGTAAGCACAACGATACTCATCAAGGAAAGCAGGATGGATAATGAGAGTATTGTCGATCATCGCACTTAAGGTCAGGGCGACGGGATAAGACATTTGCGACATCGTTGCTCTCGCCAGAAATCTTCCTGGTGGTGAAGTCGAACTCGAAAAGATTACACCACCAACGAGCCTGACGAGAAGTGAGTTTAGGCTTCATCTGAACGGCGACAAGGACACAGTTGTCCGTGAGCACGGTGAAGGTATGACCGTGTAGATGATGACGCCACTTCTTAACAACATAAACCAGCGTGAGAACCTCACACTCGTCGACAGTATAGTTACGTTCTGCGGGAAGTAGCTGTAGAGAGATAAACAACCGGAGACTCTCCATCGCGAGACTCAACTGTACCGTCATCGGCGACGTAAGTAATATATGGCGAGGGGGTTCCTGAAGGAGTAGGCTCAATGAGTGCGCGGTGAGCCACTGTCGCTGGAGGTGGAGGAGGGAATCGGGGAATGCGAGGGAGTCGAGACTCAATGGAATCGGGTGAGGTAGAAGGGGCTGAGTAGATATGCGATAGGGCAACTCCAATAGCAAAGTCAGAAGCGTCTGTGGTGACAATGAATGGACGAGAATAGTCAGGGAGGTGTAGAACGGGGGCTGACGTGACAAGTCGCTTGAGAGAGCGGAAGGCATCCTTGTGAGCCAAGGTCCAATGAAAAGGTAGATATCCACGGGTCAGAGGGGTAAGTTGGGCAGTATACACGACAAAGTTCTTAAGAAAATGACCATAGTAGTTGGTCAACCCAAGGAAACTACGTAGCACAGGAAGAGAGGTAGGAGTGGGCCAGTCGACAATGGCTTGAATCTTTGAGTCGTCCATGTGTAGTCCGTGCTCGGAGACCTGATGCCCCAGGAAGTCGACTTTGGGTTGAGCGAAGCAGCATTTGAAGAGTTTCGTATAGAACCCATGGTCACGTAATCGCTGAAGGACAGTGCGAAGGTGGATTAGATGCTCCTCTAAGGTACGACTGTAGACTAGGATGTCGTTAATATAGACTAGAACCGAGTCCTCAAAAAGGTCTTGGAACATCGTGTTCATAGACCATTCAGGATTTTCAGACCTGAATGGTCCTGAAGTGGTGAAAGGTCCGAAGACCATGAAAACCACCTGTTTAGGCATGCTGCATCTTGAAGTGGTGGAGGGTGTTCTGAAGTGGTGATGAAAAATACGACTGTTGTTAACCTTCTCTCGAGTTGGATGACTCTGACAATGTTGAAGGCCTCAACGACGGTGTGGACTGTGTATACCAGCATCTGAAGTTGGAAGGGTTGGGGTAACTCGGCACTGAAACGCTGGAGCATAGCATCGTCGGCTATGAGGGAGGGGGGAATCTGGGCGTGAACGCGGTGGAATGTCATGATATACAACTCTAAAGCATTGTTGCCACCAAGCCATCTGATATCAGGGACCCATGTGATCGGGTCAAGGGTAGGCGTCGGGCGAGAGAAGTACTGATGGAGAAAATCACGAAACTCCGCGTACGTCATACTCGCGTGAACGCCCTGTTGAGCACGAAGGGCGAGAAAGTCGCACCAAGTGGAAGCCGCTCGAGCTGTGAAGCGGGATGACATCTCCATAGGTCACAAGTCCATGTTTACACCATGGTACCGAAGTTACTCCTCGACTGTGGTGATCCAACCCTGGAGTTTGAAGGCCTTGCCATCGAATTGGGGGAGTCTATCAGGGCAATACCCAGGTACATAGGACGATGGTTGATAATGAGGAGGGAGGGGGAGGGCACACTGCGACAAGAGGACAGAGGAACTTGGGGCACCCGCAAGAGCACTAGACAAGGCCAGAAGTTGAGGCATGGGGTCGTGAGACATCGTGGTGGCCGGTGAAGAAAGAGTAAAGTGCATCGCAACCCCCTGTGTCTGATGTTGCCGGTAGATGAAAGGGTCAGCAGGCTGTGCCGCGAGGTGGGGAGGCAAAGGTTGACCTCCTTGGAGCCGGCGGATGTGGTCATGGGCCATAGCAAGTTGGCTTTGGAGCTCAACATTTTGTGTCCTGGGTGGTAGGTGTCGTGGAAACTAAAATTAAGGAGGTGGCGGGACACGATGCCATCGGTCGTGAGAAGGGAAGTGCGAAGGT